GTCGCTATCTGGACTTTATTATCGCACCTGCGAAAGTTTCTTTCGCTTCGCGGAGCCTTGTTATCTGTTTGCGACGATTAGATCCTTTCGAAGTCGTAAATCAGAAGGATTGCTGATTTTAAGGGAGGCTGCAGCCCCTCGGCCTTTTTCTTTACGATTAAATGTTATTTACTTTTATTTAAGGTAAATTTTGAGTTTGTCAACCAAGGGAATCTTCGAAGGTTCGATAGCCTCGGAAATTTTAATTGGACCCTCGTGTTGAATACCAAAAAAAATGTTTTTTAACGATGTGCAGAAATTTTCAATTACTTCAGTTCAAAATCTAACCGAAGTCCAATAGCAACATGCATGATTTATTACACTAAAATCGGGCGAACGCCGATTTTCGCGCGCTTTCTATTCACCCGCGCCTTTCACCGTAACCAGGAATTTAATTACGCGGACGCCGCCGCTTAATTGCACCCGGGGAACGTTCATTGTAGTCTTTGATTACTGCGGTCGCGGACCCTTCCTGGCTATTTTTCAAAGACTTTATAACTGTACTGTTGCGGCACCGCGAAGGATTTACGTTTATATTACGAAGTTAATAAGAAGCCGAATGGAGACTAATTGCAATACATTTTTGTTACTCGTAAAGGAAATAATATTACAGAGACAAAAATTCCAAGTTCAGGAAGTTTATTATTCTATTGTAATTTTCAATCTATCCACTTTAAAGACAGCAGATCGATGCTTGCCAGAATTACAAGGCGTATCAATCATTTTTAATAGAATAAAGAGAAGTTAATGGAAATAGTTGATAGCAAGTGCTCCACATCGTTTCCGAGCCAGGATGATGGAAAAATTTGCAACTTTATCGAGCGTGTAATTTATACGGCACGGCTCGAAAAATGTTGCCATCAATCCTAGTCAGAGGGTTGATATCTCTGTTTAATCTACTGATCGAACAGCTAGAAAACCAAAGTGTAAAATCCCTTTTTCGACTGTTCGAACACCGTTCCGACATTATACGACCGTTTCTTTCCCTTCGGACACGAGTTTCTGCCCACGCTTTTCGTGGTCTATTATTCGTTCGAAGCGAAACGCCGGGAGGAGGAGAGAAACCGCAGTCTCGTGCGCCGGAAACGCGTAAACCAGTCGGCGAGGGTTTCGTCTCGCCGATGAGATCCGTTTTATCGCTCCATTTGTCCACGTCTCCCTTAGGTGGTCAAAGAATAGTCCCGTCGCGACAAAATTATTTACGAACTACCAGGTGGTCTTGGATCATTTCGGAAAAAATTGAATCAACTTTCGCTAGGAAAATAGCGTCGAGGGTGTTCTCTATTTTTCTCGCATTTCCAGTGCATCGGGCTATTTAACGGTGCTTCCAAAGCCGGGTCTATGGCAAAGAATTAGGCGTGCACGGAAACGGGAAACCAGGTCAGAAGATCGTAAAGAATCAGGTCGCATAGGAGATGAGAAAACTTTTGCTCTTTTCTCTAACGCGTTTCGGAGGCGGGGAAGGAAATCTCGTCGCGACTGGTATTAACGAGAAATCGAACCTCGTACAATGGTTCCACCCTCGACGGAACAAAACTCAATAACCCTTGCGGATAATGGTATTGCGTGACGATGTATGTACATTTGGGTGCAATGTGAACTTTCTGAGATCTAGGCACTCCCTAGATTCTTTCAAAACCGAAGGCAATTAAAAGTAGACTCCTCACTTCTCAGAAAAGTAAAATTCTTAATTTTACATAGAATTCTCTATTATTGTGTAAAATTGAAATCAGATCAATGAGTACACAATGATGCTCATCCCTTGTTAGTTAAAGGAAGCCTACGTTGCAGCCAAGTGTACGTGGTTACAGAGGATGGGTAAGCGAACAAAGTTGTTCCAGTAGCCACAGGGCCAAGAGGTCAGCCAATTCCGGCGATGCTTGCGTCCTGTTAACTTTCGTGCTACGTCAGATAGCCAAATGACCCGTGTTCCGCAGTGGCCTGCATTTTCCTGGCGTTCGTTTTCACCTCCCCCCTACCACCGTATCGCCCTCGATTGAACGCTTTCGCAGCTGGTGTCGGATGTTCGATAAAAGAACCGTGGAAAAGTGTTGATTAATGAAGATCGTATTTCTCGAGGACAGAGGTTTAAAAGCGATCAGATATTTTACGTGTTTGCTGAGATTGCATTCTGTTCGTCGATTTATTGGATCGCGGAAAGATTTGTTTTTAAAGGATGATTTAAAAAAGGAAACTTTTGGAAATATATAAGAGCGGAAGCTGGGATTATTCCTTGATTCGAAACACCGGAGGCCCCATTTCGAGTAATTGGTAAGATTGCAATGGAGAGGAAAAATTCAAAGGCGTTACCTGTGAATTCGCGCGATAACCATAACAATATTCGTAATGGCTGTAGAAATCGTTATTACACCTACACAGACTTTAAGGTGTACCCGTGTAACGTGGAACAATACCGTTCTCGAGAAAGGTGGAAACCGGTATTGCTCGAAAATCATAGCGTGAAATAACGCGAACACGTCGAATCAGCGATTTATCATTTCGAAATGAAAACGTCATCGTTCCACAGATACGGGAGTATCAAAATATTGTGACGGTGAACGAAGATTCCGGTATTCGATAGAAATTCGTGTGGAAAGGATTTATGAATGGCGATATGCATATTGAATGGAAAATCTGTGAGGGGGAAATTTATGGACGATAACTCATTTGCTCGACGCTCAATTACGACGGGGAAATTAAAAATCCCGTGTGGACGACCGCCGAGGAGATAAATTTCACCTTTGTTAATTCCGATTAATAACGCCGACCCGATTGTACCCTGATTCACGAGCCGCTAATACGATATTACAACAAAGCGGTGCGGTGGTTCGAATTCAACGAAACTTCCGTGCCATGGAAAGCCACCATCTGCGCGAGCCGCGTTTCCGTAGCCGAAATCGATGAAACGCGGCCACGTGTTTTCATCGTGGAAAATGCTGGCGAAAATAAACCTGGTTTTCTAGGATGGCTAAAATGTATATCCGCTGGAAATCAGTGTTCGCATTAAGGTGAAATGCATCTACCAGTTTCTTCTCTATCTTCCCTATTCGTACAAAAGCGACAGACGATCAGATATAACATTTTTCGTCCGGTACTTTCGACTTTCTCGTAACGCAGCGACACTGTTGAAATATTGAGAGTATCATTGCGACAGTGTTAAAAAGAAAAACACATTTTTAATTAGAATGGAAAAGAGCTATTCTTTATTAATTATTCCATCGGACAAAGTACAGTAAAAAAAATTCGTCCATTAAATTCTAGGTAGTTCCTTTTCTTCAAACTTGCAGCTTCTTAAAGCTCTCGGAAGGTGCAACGTTTCTCGAGCAAACTTTACTCAGCCGCAAGAAATTTTCCGGAAAATTTCATGATGGAACACCTCGAGTAATTTTCCTTGCCTCCCGTTGCATCGTGTGAGCGAAGAAAAGGCTGGATGCTTCCGGATTCAGCCCTTTCTGGCCGCAGGCGAACAGCACGTGCCCAGAAAGAGTTCCGAGGCTGCCCGCGATATTAAGTATTCCATTCGCATTACCTCCCGCTGAACAGAAAGTTACACACGCCTCGTTATGCGGCCAGAAGCGGCACCAGCAGCGTTCTGCAAACTTAATTAGCGACTCTGGCCAGCCGGACATCGAGAAAGGGAGACACTTCGAAGAAGCGGATGATTTATCTGAATGCCCCGGAGCGTGGAATCTCGTTCTCATCGAGGCGTGTACTTTGCGAAAGAATGCTGCTTCGATTGTAATTACAGTTTCTGGGACAACGATATTTAGTTGTTTATTTGCTGATAATAGAATTGTTCCTGTCCGCCTTAGAGAAATCTATCAGAGCTCCATTAACCTTTGGACGGCGGACCATGAAGAGAGCCACGGTTCTATCGAAACAAACAAGCGAACGTAAAAAGGGAGTCATCAAATTCAAAATATAAATGAAATTGCAATTCAGACGGATGAATAAACAGCATTCATGATTTTAATTGGGTAATCAGCGTGATCCTGTCGTGGAAATTTTATTCATCGAGAAAACAAACTGGTTCACTTCGAACCGATGATTAATCGCCCTTTTGCGAGCTCGTTAACGCAAGAAAGAGAGAGAGAGAAAGAGAGAGTCAAGTGGAGGATATTTTATTTGCCTCTTCGCAGATGTTGTCGAAATTTCATTGGTGTGTCACCGTATCGAGAGATCGAGAACGGCTTCTGCGTAATACGTTCCGTTTACCTTGACTTCCGCTCGATCATCGTGATCCAAGCTCGCTCGCGTGCGAGTACGTAAATGTCGTAAAGATCCGCCTGCTGCTGCACCACGACGAGATGTAAACACGCTTCCCCCTTGATAGCCAGCTTGTACGACATAGTGCAACGTACAGCGCATTTTGTTTCACGTGCTAATGTAATTTGCTTTCATCCGGCACCGATGTCGACGTTCTTTCATCGACGAACAGCTACCAGGATGTAGCGAGACTAGCTTAACGGGCGTATCACGAAACACGTGGATAATAAGTTTCCTCAGGAATTAAAAAAAAGAAAAGGAAACCCCTTTGTAGGGTGTGTTAACGTAGAAGAAGACCACACAAGAACAAGATGTTTAGACAATCATCGCTGCGTTGCTTGAAGCAGCTGAAACATACTTGAAGAAGTCTATGAAATACTGCAATGTTGACGAAGTAGCATTTATTTTATAGATATTGATGTTAAAGACTAATTACGGCACACCATTTTGTTTGTTCAAGTATTTGGAAATCAACTGAGGATCGATTTTGAAAATTATTATTCGTTAATACATTTTGATTGATCATTTGATCTACGATCGACGCAAAAACGAATCTGAAGGATCGGAGCAGCGCAGATGCGAAGAGGCACGTTGCATTTCGACACGAATTGTCGATTCCTTTCGCCCCTCTGTTCGGACTTGGGAGCCATTCGGAGCGCTCTTCAGGGTCCCTGCTGGTATTTTCTGTCAGTCGACGGCAGGCCGCGGGACGAGCTGGTCGAGAAAAGGCGACGGTCGTTAAATCGAGTCATTAAACACGCGTGCTCCTCGCAACACCGGGTGTTCCCGATTTCCTGCGGACAATCTTTCAAAATTCCTCGTACACAGGGAAAAATGAAAAGAATTCATGGCGTTTTCTATTACTGATACAATAACAAATTTCAATTCTGATCCTCATGGGAGCAGTGTCGAGGAACGTCACATTAAACATTAATTGAAAAAAAAAGAATTGAAAAATAATTAAGGGTGTTATTGAAATTTTACAAAAAGAGAAAAAGGAAAAAGTCCTGAACAAACAAATGAAAGTTAATAATTTTTTTGAAATTGAGTATCCGTTGAATTCGAATGGAAAATAGGAAAAGTATAATTGGGTGTGAAAGGGGGTGATCGCCAAAGAGTCTACGAACGAAGATAAGGGACGCGGTGACCCGGCCCGTGGAAGCTCGTATAAAATCGACGATAGCGAAGTCGACAGCCGGCAGTGTTGCGGGAGCCGTGCGCGAGAGAGGACGGACGTTCGTGGCTTATGTCGACGCGCGGGAAAATCGACGCGTAAACGTGAAAAGTCGCCGATGCTCCCCCGCAACGCTTTGTTTTACTACAACGACCGCGAACATTACGATTTTTTAAACGAACCATTGTGTTGTCATCGATTTGGTGAATCGTCAAGTGCGAACGTCCATCATTTTACCTAACACCAAGTTGTGCCTTGATAAGCACATGTTACAATTAACCCCTTTCCTCCCGTATCGTTTTTAAAAATCGCCGACGAGACTGGAGGTTTCCACGAAACATTCGAATCACGAGGAATTTTGAAACTTTCGACACAATTTTGAGGAAATTGAAGCTGTGTCTCTCTGCAAAGGATCTCGCGATAAAATTTATCGAGTTTTCGGGGCTGGAAAAGTTTCCGGCAGAGATGCAGCGACTGCGAACGAACGACGCGGATACGAGCGGAAAGTCGTGGGAGCCTTGAAAGATTTGCGGAAGGAGGACGCGTAAGCAGGAGCAGGAAGAGCGAGGGAAGAGGATCCGCGAACAAGAGGCAACGTAGAGGCGAGAAAACACTCGAGGAATGCCGTGGATAAAGTGTTTGGGTGGCGGGGGCGGAAAGGCCAGAAGAGGCAAACCACTCAGCGTCAGCCAGCCGATCCACCTGCTCGTCAAGGTGAGTGATTTTCTTTGATTTTCCATTTGCTTGACGAATTTTCTCGAAACCGAGCTACGCCCTTTCGTGCCAGGCGTCTGTATAGTACTTAAGTGGACCACGAAAGATCGACGTTAATGCTTATGATTGGCTCGACACGCGAGCACATGGCCCCGTTAATTCGTGCTTATCAATTGATTTCATTCTCTTTTTTTTCTATCGTTCAACCACTCGAAGGGATTCTGGTACACGATATTTAATTTTACGAGCACTCTTCAAGTTTATTGGCACGATTACATGCTACTGGATCTCTTTGTACACGTTTGACCACTTAAAATCATCGATATATTTAGAATATTAATTATAAAATTTTTAATTTCTAAAGTAGAAAAGAAATTGGGGCTCTCTCCATGGCTCGCTGTCCAAGCATTAATCGTGTCATTTGTTTTCAAAGTTGACGAGATATTCCGCGAATAGCTAGACTAATCCTTGTTAGACATCGAAAAAATCGATTGATAAATAAAATGCGAGGAACGTTGGAGATAATCTCTTGAACGCGATATCTGTTGTATAGTTACCTCTCTCGTTCCCTCCATAACTAGGTGATAAGTGAAACTAATCTTTTGTCTCGTTCAGCTAATTGGTTTTAGCTACTCCTAACCCTTCGACCCTCTGTTTCACGGGTACAAAAGACACCAAATTAAGGCGTCTACTATCTACCAGTGATAGGAATTACGTGAAACGTTTAGTTTAAACAGACGAACGAAGGAAATGAGGATCGAAAGAAGAAAGTTTTTCCCCGGTTATTAGACGAGCGTTTCTTTTACGTTGGAATGTTATAAAGACCGAGCAGATAGGAAATCTTGGGATGACGAAGGGCGCCATAGTGGCCCTTTCGTTCTAGCATTCTGATTTATTAATTTCTTTCGAAGGCCTGTTTCTTTCGTGTTTCGACCCCGTACACGAGCCATCTCGCGACTATATCGATCCTCGTCACAACCCACCAATTAAATTGATAATAACCCGCCGCGTTACCTGCTCGTTATCGTGCCTGGTGGTTCACTCTTAACGCAATCGTTAAGTGACACCCACACATTATGTACGATCGTGACGGTGAGAGAAGCTGGCCAACAGATGAGATTGTTAGAGATGGAATTCAAGCAATATTGCAAGAAATACCAAGTTGCGATTGCATTTGTCATATATCGCATTAATTATTTTTGGTTAATGAGTAAATGTTGAATCTGATTCTAGCGCTGGAGACTGAACAAAAAGTAGGACGACTGCAAAGAGGAACAATCAAACATTCCTTCGTTTCAATCGCTAGGTGTTTCGAATATTTTTCACTTTTGTTTTTTTTTATTGCTAGCTTGATAAAGTTATTGGTTCGATATAGAGCAATTAGAATTGGGACCGTGTCGGGGTATGTAGTTTTATTCGTTGCGCGAATGCCGTAGCACTTCCGCTTAAAATTGCTCTCGAATAAAAAATATTGAAATTCACGATCAACTCGTCGCTAACAGATCGGTCAGCTTCAAAGTTCCCATTTTTCTCGATTCGTTCGGAATCGTTTTCCAATACTGTTATTGAATGATTGATACAAAAGAAATAGCGGTGCGCGGCGTTGGCTTACAATTAGCATGATAATCATCGAAGCGTGAAGTGGAGTAATTTTTTTTATCGTTCGACCGCATATTTTTTCCGCTATTAAACCCGGGATACTCGTGGTTCATCTTTCTTGAAAAACAACGCCAACTACTCGGCCATATTGTTTATGCAAATAACCCGACTCCGTGCCCCCGCTAACTCATGATTAAACGAAATTAAATTAAATCAGCATGCCGGTACAAAACATCGAATTAATTCGTTCAACAAGAAGCCGCGTCGAACCTCGAATTAATTAAACGACTCGCTCGAAAATCCAATCCCCTCCTCTTCTGGTGCCCACTTAAAATTCCGGATTTTCGTGTCACGACCAGCCCGTTCGTTTCCCGCGATTCGATCGTTGCACACGCGACATCGATTCGTCAAAATCATTCGAAGTTACATGTACACCTCACTTGAACTCTGTACAGATGTGTGCGAATGTTTCTCTCACGACCCCGAAGGTGGTCCCGCGAGCTTCTCTCGCCTCGTTCGAGGTGTCGTTTCGAGTAGCGGTTAGCCAAGTCGGAGGCGATCGTTAAGCGAATTATACAACGGGGAAAAAATCGCGCGCTAATAGCGGCGCGCAATTAAATAATAGCGAAACGTGTACCACCCGCGGCGACGTTACACCGGCGATTTCATTAAAGCGCCACTTAGAAGCGCGACACGGTATTCCGTGGAATGAATACGGCCATTCCAGTCCGCGTAAAAACGACATAAAACCCCGTAGCTTTTCTCGCATTTATGGTGTCCTGGTATCAGATTATCGAACGGGCTTTCAATTTTCTTGAATATCATTCTTGGATAGATTTTAAGATTCAGATTTTCCTAGACCACCCTGTATAGGGAACAGAGAAAAGAAAAAAAAAAAGTGGACGTTATCCACGGATACGTGACGACGTGTGCAAGCTATCCACGCTCATGCGAATGCCCGTTGTCTGTTATTATAACCGTACTATTATCGGTACTATACACCTGTACGATCGGTTCTAGTCACACAACGTCCGGCGGGTACACGTTCGTACCGGCGAGCTGGCAATTAAATTAGCGAGCCCCTGGCAATTCTGCGAGTTTTTGCGCGACGAAACTTTATGTAATAGCCCGGAGCCAGGCGGAAAGGTCGCCGGGCGGAGGAGTGTCTTTGAAATTTTGTTTAATCCTTTCGACCTCGTAATGGCAATTCATGGGTTCTTTGTTTTAATTAAAGGCGATGGGATCGAAGGATCTTCCTCCGGAGATGATTGTATCCAATCAGTGAGCTCAAGGAGGAGGATTCTATAATTATGTTAGATAATGATTTCTTGCTTTATTTTAAATATACACGATTCTCGTTTGACAATAACAAATACAAAAGTATTTTTAATCATTCGTTGAAAATTCTACTCATTAGTGCACGTTCCATGTGGCGCTACGAATGTTTTGTACAAATACCGGCAATTAACTCGGCGCACCTGCCAAGCAGCTATATTTTTTCTCAACTCGAAGCTATATATTTAACTTTTAATTGCATATCATTTTTTTTTTGCAAAGAACCTGCACTTTAATACAAACATGTTACAAATCTAACTTGCACGATTCGATTTAAATCAAATTGATCGGTTCGTGCATGAATGTTTTCTAGGAAAGTCACTTTCGAACGCAGCAGGAAAATTCCAAGTTTTTTTCTTTCTGTAAACAAGGCTTTTATTCCTTGAAAAATTCTCGAGGAATTTATTAGTGAAATATTTCACGAATCGATAAAATTTGATTATCTCTCGGCAAAAGGTTAGAAGGCAGGCTTTTAAAGGTATCCTTCACGGTGAATCAGCGAAGACTCATAATTCTCGGGGAAGATTAGGAAACCCTCATAACTATCGTCATCATAGTGCATGCAAACGGGTAAGCGGTTCGTGTACCGGGTCGTATATTACTCGGGATATATGTGCATATGCCATTGACTCGTACATCAGCGAAACAATGTTTTATTGGTTGGACGCACTCCCTCGGTAGTAGTTTTTCTATTGCGTCCAAGATTAATTTGAAAGCCATTAAAATGATCCATACGTAATATATTTAAATCATCATATTTTTTATCCTTCAAATACCAAATAGAAATTAATGAGAATGAATATCACCCAATAAATTTAAATTGAAAATTAAGTAATTTTAATTATAACCTGTCTGACTATACACGTCCGTTTTCACTGTGTCAGTGTTTCATATTTAAGGGTTGGTTCCGTCGACATGCAAGGTCGAAAGATAGCGTATTTTTCCCTGCAATCAAGGTGTCCAATAGATAGACAGCTCGTGGGCGTCGATAATATTGTGACACCGCTTAAAAGGTGTAAAGTAAAAAGGTGCGCGCAAAGCAAACATTTTTCGAGTTTATTGAGCGAGGTTCATGCGCGCACTAACACTGTTTTCAGCAGCGAGTTCACGCGCGTAGGCAGGATATCCAGCCTTCTAACCTTTCGAAAGATCAACAGCCGCTTGTCATCTAACGAACTTCGGCATAAATTTAGGAACGCGTAACTAGTCGGTTATTTGACTAATTCGTGGAATCCGGAGATGCCTGACGTTAAAAGAAAAAGGGAGTAATTTTCAATTTCTTCGTCCTGGTTTTCATAAGATATTTTCAAATAACAGACTAAATTATTCTAACAAGATTAGAGCTAGCTAGTCAATTAGGAGATAACTCTGCTCTATTTTCGGCGCCAGGGCCGTTATTGAGCATCCAGATACAAGATTCTCCCCTTCCCAAATGATCACCAAAAATAACGCGTTGAAAATTTCTTCTTTCATCCGACGACTTGAGAAAAATGTTGGCTGTACTCTTGCCAATTCTGGCGGTCAACTTTTTAAACCCTAAAGAGACGATGATGATTCTTGAATATTTTTAGTATTCCAATGGCATTAAGATTATAAAAGAGGTCTGGATTTAGGAAATTTCCACGCTGGTTTCCAATCAGCGGCAGGAAAATTTAATTCAGCAACGTTCTCGAGACGTGACGGTATCCTTCGAAGAGAAAGAGGAGGAACTCCGGTGGAAAAAATAGTACAGAGAAAGAGACTTAACGAGCGCCACGTTGAGAGAAAAGAAACGAACGGTGGCGAAGATTAAATCGCACGATATCACGGCTAACGATTCGAGTCGTGCGCGAGGAACGATGCCCGACCCCTTGAGATTCCTTAATTGCAGTTGCACGTCGGTGCGCAATTAAAAGTTCTTCAATTGGGACACGCGTCTCGCCTCGCAGTGTCTCGCAATTTTATCCCTTCTTTTGGCCGACTACTTCCACAGAACTGGCACCGTTTTCTTACTCGAATTATCGTCACGTACCTCGTACTTCTAGAAATGTTTAATCTAGATCCAACAATTTTTCAAACTTTTTAAA